TCACAGCCCTGTAGTAGCTCACAGCCCTGTAGTAGCTCACAGCCCAGTAGTAGCTCAGAGCCCTGTAGTAGCTCACAGCCCAGTAGTAGCTCACAGCCCAGTAGTAGCTCACAGCCCTGTAGTAGCTCACAGCCCAGTAGTAGCTCACAGCCCTGTAGTAGCTCACAGCCCTGTAGTAGCTCACAGCCCAGTAAAACTGTAGTCGCAGCACTAACATCATCAACATGTGTAACGTATGTTTGTGGGGGGGGGGGGGGCTCTATCTCCTACAGCATGCATATGCACACCGCACACCATGATCATTTGCACAGGTGTTACCGTGTTAGGTTAATTAATTTCTCTTTGGCTCACATCTTTCTTGCTTGCAAAAGCTGTTAGTGCCCTCTCCCCCAGGGAGTTGTAAAATAGTCCTCCCTGTCCACTATTCGGGTTTCCACACCCACACTGCGCCAGCTTTCCTAGAAATACACATCCCCCTTGGGTCAGCCCAAGACTGACTTTCCAGGATTCAAATATATGTGCACTACTATGTGATGATGGACTATGCGTGAAACCTGGAGTCATAGCTCAACAGGTTCAATTCCTTTTAGTATCTACATTGTATGTGTGGACAAATTTGAAATACCAAGTACAGGCTTTCGCCCGCTCACTCCCCACTCGTTACATTATAATTACGGCATGCGCGACGCTGTGGACGTTATTCCACTTCATTACAAACATGCTAGTAACAATGCATGTACAGTCCTGCTCAGTGAAATCCGGTCGCATGAGTCAAGTTTGCACCTTGCACCTTTTCGCAGGCCAGTGTTCACAGTTTTAAGGCTGCGCAACGCCCGGCGCCCGTACTTGAGTGACTGGATCGGATTTCACTGAGCAGTACTCTGGTGTGAAGTACGATACGGGCAAAACCGGTCCGGTGGCTGCTCGTCAATGTGTTCCACTGGCAAGTGAGGCTATTCACGGCCACAATGCAAAAACACAATGGATCAACGGGTATGTGATGGCCCAGCCAGTCCAAAATAGTCCAAAACTCACGGCATCGTCCGGTCGGGAGTTACACTTACATCTCCCATCATTTAAATACATAGATTAAATTTTATAGTTGAGATACATGATGTGTATGTGTACTCACCTAATGCAGTCATAAGACATAAGTCCAAGAAGAGAGTCAGGGTTACTATGAACACAGCTAAACGCTTCTTTTTCCTGAAATTGCTCGATGTTACATCCCCTGGATCTGCTGGTCCAGCAACTCCATGATCTGTAGTCACAGGTCTGACTGCTTGCTCCTGCCTCCTGACACTCGCATGGCCTCCCGCTACTTCTACACTGCGTCTAGCCTGTATGCCAGTGTTACTTGTGGAACCATACTGTCCTGCACTTGAAATTATTCGATTGTCAGACATAATACAAGAAACTGAGAGGAAATTGTATGACGAGCCGAGTTCCACGGTTTCCCAGGAATGTGTGGTGTCCGAATCCAGCGATCTGAGAATGCAGGCAGGATTGCGGTATACTCGCGAACAGCTTCAGTGCTGTCGCAGCATTGAATGAAAATGTTGAGAAATCTCGAGCTCCAGGATCACTGAGAATATTCTATTCCTGCTCTTTGCTGCAAGTGCTCAGAGTTGAATCAGACTTCCCGTCCCTTCAACTGGCAATCGAGGAGAGCATTACATTATTGTGTAGTTTATCCCCGTCGCGTATGAGAATTCATTCAAACGTTCAAAGTGTAGAAAGCACCTCCACCTATGTAAACATGGTAAACATTGCGCAAGGAATACCTGAATCAGTGAATGGCACTGATTCTCTATTCTGTTCAAAAACAATAAAATCATTGAAGCTGGTGTTATTTCCTGCACTGCATGGTCGAAGAACTACGCGAGTTTGAACCGCGTACCGCGGCAAGCTGGATATGCACGCACAGAACTCGTGAAGAAGCAAACCCAAGCACGCTATAGCGCGCTAGCGATCGACTCAAATATCGCGTTACCTACACTTCTTTTCGTCTTTGCATGCTATCGATCGTATACGAAGATCCCGATGCGGTTTACGACCACACGTGAGTCGAGTAGCAGTTGTCCAGCACTAGCGACTCGTATGATCGTAGTGTTTACCACGAAGTGCACCCGCGCACAGATTGACGACACATGACACTGTGACAGCCGGATGCTATCTGGCACGGACGGATCCGTGGAGGTAGCCGGACACTGGACAGCACACCGTGGCCGCCCTTGCACTGCAGCAAAAGCTACAAAAAGAGGCAGTGTTGGGTCATTACAATGGTAATGATTATGTCGCTTTTGCTGCTACGTGCTATGTCATAGAGCAGACCTTTTAGTCTTGCCTCTGAGTCTTGGCAGGGCCAGGTCAGGAAGTGATGACTGTTCTCTTGGTCTTGGTCCTTGGACCTTGGTTGTCGCCACTCGCCAGGCCCAGGGTCAGGAGTCGTATAAAATCGTATACTCCCTGGTTGTAGCCGTGTAGCGTAGACTACCTCTCAGTGACGCCGAGGACGGCTCTCCACTGAGTCAGTCCGACTTGTTGTTGTTGTTGTGTTTATTTTAATTCGCAAACCAAACGGGCAGATCTGCCCAATGAAAAGGTGGCGAATGCAGATAGAAAGCAGTAATAAATGAAATTGGGGACTGATGTAATTAGGATAGAGGTGGAGAAAAACTAAGCCAGCTGATCATCAAACTTCTTTTGTTCACGAGATCCAACTCTTTCCGACTGGCACGTCTGCACTGCAGGTAAGTCCCATGAGCTACACCACACCGACAGCCGACACCGCACGCAGCCGAGGACGAAATCGGCACTAGCCGGGAACCGACCGTAGCTGATTTAAAGTCTACTCTACGGGAGGTCGAGGTTATGCATGGCAAGGCTGCAGTACAGAAGCAAACAGGATGGCCCCTTCGCATGATGAGCGTAGTAATAGTGTGTCATCCGGATTCTACAATTTACTTTTTTTGTAGTTGTACTAGTAATTGCAGTACCTTTGAAAAGGGATGTTTTCAGGACAATGCTGCATTCCGGCGATGTACCGACCGTGTGTGCGTGTCTGTGTGTGTGTGTGTGTGTGTGTGTGTGTTGCGTCCGCTCTATCCTTGGTGTGTCGAGACAGCAGATGTGGGATGCCCACATCAGCAATGCTGAACTATTGCGTATGTGGGGCGATCCGGAGACCATCACCTGTAAGCTTCGGCATCGTCGGCTAGAGTGGCTAGGTCACCTGGCGCGCATGGATGACACCCGCATGCCGAAGTGCCTTCTGTTTGGCCAGCTCCCACCTGTCAGACCTGCCCATGGACCAAGGAAACGGTGGAAGGACTGCGTGTCGGTCGATCTTCGACATAACCAAATTGTGAACTGGTACCAGACCGCTAACACATCTCGCGTGGAATGGCGATGTAGATACCAAGACCAGGATAAGGAACTGGCCGCAGCAGCCCCCGTTGAGTGCCCCACCTGTGGAAAGGTCTGCTCTAGACCAAGTGATCTTAAGCGCCACAAGTGCACAGCGGAGCGTCGCAAGCCAGTCCATCAGCAGCGTGGTGCATGTCAATGCGCAGATTGTGGGAGATGGTACCGTAGCAGGGGTGGACTCGCTGTGCACAGGTGTCAGCCTGCCTCAATCGCTAGCCAGCCCGCTTCCGCTCCTTGTAGACCTCGCCAGAACCGCCCAACAACGGATGAACGTGCCAAGTTTCCACTAATGTGTCAGCACTGCTCTCGGAGATTTCGGCAGTCCAGGGACCTGACCCGGCACCGGCGTGTTTGCTCCTCTCCCTCCTCCCGCAATGGGACCACGTAACCTTTAAGGCAGTGGGTCGACAGGACAGGACAGGTGTGTGTGTGTGTGTGTGTGTGTGTGTGTGTGTGTGTGTGTGTGTGTGTGTGTGTGTGTGTGTGTGTGTGTGTGTGTGTGTGTGTGTGTGTCTGTGTGTGTGTGTGTCTGTGTGTGACTCTCCAAACACGTCCTGCCCTAAAACTGTAAAAGCCGCTGGGACTGACTGGCTGAGTTAGTGTCTGGTGAACAGGAGTCCTACCCGAGCAACAACAAGTGACAACAAGTGCGGACTGTGTGCTCTGCGGTTTGTACAGCCATCCTACAGTACAACAATGTCATGTCTCCGGACGTCATGCTGGCGGAGTCGGAGTCGGAGTCGGACAGCTTCATCTGCAATGACTATGTACATGTAGATGTACATAAGGGTTCCAAAGACATAAGTAACCATGGTAACCTTGTGCCGCGGTGGTCAGCATGCGGTGGTCAGCATGGTGAGAGCTACAGTCCATTCAGAAAAAGATGGACTTCTAGCTTTTGGCCATAAATGGGTCAAACTTTGAGTTTTTTTAGAATTTTTTTTCTGCAATCCCCTATGGAATCCTCTTCCAATTATGTTTCTGAAGTCTATTTGTCCAAAAAGCAAGCCATAACAAGAAAAGGATATCGGCCAGGTTTTGCCCCAGAAGCATTGAATTGGAAAAAACCATCAAAATCCAGGCCGTTTGACCCTGCCTGCAACAGTGCATTGTGGGGTTCGAACCCCAGTTCAGGTACCCTTTTTGGACTCTTTTTCAAAGTTCAAATTTCGCAGCACTGCACTGTGTACAATGAAATCACGAAAAATCGCCAAATACGGGAGCTCGCCAGAGCCAGAGCCCATCTTTTTCTGAATGGCCTGTAGCTGAGCACCAGAACTGAGAAGGCGGAGCGAGATTCAATCGCAGCTGAAAGCAATTGTTAGGTTACTGGTAGCAGTTGTAACGTCACCAGCACTTTTAAAAGTTATAGTGATTGGCGATAATGTTCTGCTTTGGACCAGAGTAGCTTTGGACTTGCATATGGTTGTATCGTTGCCTGGACTGCTGGAGATCGCTATCACAATTATTGTGATAGCGATCGAATAGGAGGAGTGTCGCACTAATAGCAAGAGTATTATACTAGCCCCCTGGGGGGTTATAATAGTATACTCTTGCTATTAGTGCGACAATCGGAGTTGCAACTGAATCGAATCACCAGGCCTGACGTCTTCGGTCTGCGCACATGCACAGTGCAGTCCAGACATAGTGCTAGTGATGTATGGACTGTGTGAGTGTCACTCCACTCGACACTAGTAAGTAGTATCAAGATTTAGACGTTTAAACTTTAGCCGGGGTCTACGGGAAAGACAGTCTCCGACCTTGGCTTGTCATACTGCTGTTTTGTGCTGCAATACACGATGCTTGTATCTTGGCTTGTGTACGTTACTACTTGAAGTACAAAGTGAGCTATGTCAGTATGTCACATTGTGCAACACACAGACACTGAGACAGACGTGCATGTACCGGTAGTTGCTTTGTCGTCTGGTAGACTATGATGATTGAATAAACGATGATGCTCCCATGTGACTGTCAATGATACTCGATGATAAAATCGTACATACACGATGTTGTGCCATGCATGTCATACTGGTGCGTCTTAGTCTTTCACGGAGATTCCTAGATTGAATGTTATGTTCTCAGTGTCTTTTGTGCAGAGAAAAATAAAGACATTGTTTTAGAAATCATATGACCAGCATGTGAAGCTAATGAATATATTTATTAAAAAATGCTAGAAATGATGAAAGATTTGAATAAATTCAAAGAAAACTGGAAGGATACACTGTGGATAGTTTCACCACTCAAGTACAACACGAACATAGTCAAGAATAACATGAGGTCAGGTCCAATAATGAAGTACTTCATCAGCACAAGAGAGAAATAGAATGACAGGGGAAAGGTAAAGTCCACCGTGGCATGACACAGCGTCCTTCCTCTCACCCGTGTCTAAAGCATCATCACCAAAACGATCAGACCGTGAGAGCGCCCAAAGGAATGCTCCGACAAGAGCAGAGAGGTACACTATGCCGGGGGATTGCATGTGCTGCAGTTACCAGCTTTGAGTCTTTGCTATGCTGTATCCGTGTGCAGTTACATTGAGTCTTTGCTATGCTGTATCCGCGTGTTCCACAACACTAGTAGCCCCGGTGTGCTCATCAGGATGGTTAGAACAAGTCGTAGTAGAAGACACAGCAGCTGCACCACCATTGGTACATGTATCACTGTCACTCACTGATACAGTTTGTACATCAGTACTGACAGTAGCCTGCGATGATGGCGCTGCAGACAAAACCGCTGTATCGGCAACGTCCACTGCAACACAAGGAGACACACCACTTGGAACAGTTTCAAACTTCTTCTTCCACTTTGTCAGTGTCTTGTCCAAACGAGACAGGAAAGACGAGACTTCATCAGTGGTCATACCAATCGCTGCTGCAGCTGTCATGTAGGCAAAGGGCAGATGGTCGTGATGAGCACCCCAGTTGGAGAAAGTGTGCGGTCCAATCTCTTTACTGCTCCCAGGTGCTATGACTCTAAGCAAGGAGAGGAAAACAGACGCATATGGTATACTTGTACACAATCACATCAAGATATACACAACACACAACCTACCCATACACACTGTGATCCGATGTGCTATGAACAACTGAACAAGGACAGAATGCGAGGTGTCCACATGTCCACATATAGTCTTGAGTGGTGAGATCCATTCACATCCCCAAACAGTCAGTGTACACACACCATGTGCCACATCACTTACCTAGTACCGGAAACAGAACGTTTGAACAGCATTGACCCTAGCTCTGTCATGGCCGACGAGTTGCTTGCCTGTCCAGAACTGCATACAACTCGCGGTAGGGATATTGCTGGAAGAGCAAATAACACCGTCACAAACACCAATGTTGCAAAATACAGTATACTACTGAGTCTGTAAGTCACACAGCAAAAGTTATCAGCATAAGTGTGTGTTCCCTTGCTCATGTGGCTGATAGCATAGAACATTTAGATAGGAAGCAATGGTACGTGTCACCCCTACTCTAGCAGTGGCAGATGTCCACATTGTGTGGCCAGATCACACAGCAGATGTCCACATTGTGTGGCCAGATCACACAGCAAAAATCTTGTATGATGTCACAGTGTATTAAAATGTTGCGCTTACCAAGGGACATAGGGTTGTGAGTATGACGTCACAGTGTAAATGGTGCACTTACCCAGGGATATCGGGTTGTGAGGAGTTTTGAGAAGGCGTTCACCATGTTCTGCAGCTATCTTCTCCAAACCGGTAGAGAGTTGCTTCATCACAACCTGTAACACATCACAGGATTTAGAGTTTCACGCTAAGGCAGCCGTTGCCAAACAATGATCGTCCGTCAAACTCGGAATCCCAACAAGTAGCTTGGCTCAGTGTGTTGCCAGCGTGTGAATGTCTCTACATGGTGAGCATCAAGCACTAGTACTTGTACAACAGCAGTATAGCAGTTCTGCATCTTGAATTTCAGAATGTCTTTTCAACTACTGGGTTTGAGAGTAGACGGAGCAGTAGATCTTTCGAGATAGTTGAACGGAAAAAGGCAATTAAGTCGAAAGTTATTTTCAGCTTCTTTTGAACTTTTTAAACTTTACTTGCTGGCGACATTTTAGTTGCCTTAGTAACCACGTAGTAAGCAGCTAGCGCAGGTTGTGAGTAGTCGAGAATAGAACTTTGTAGAACAGCTCGCAAACTGAAATTCGAAACCTCCAAAAATTTGACTCACCACAGGCGCTAAACATTCCGAAATCGGAAATGCCGAATGATCCAGGAGTCAACATGTCGAAGGTTGTTCAGAAATTAGTCTGCACGGTAACCTACCCAAACCACGCTGAACGTGGTGGGAAAAAGGGTTCATCAAGCATCAGTGACTACAGGTCTACTGACAGTGATATAAGAGAGGTTTCGCACGGCGGGCCCCGCACATACTTGACACGTTTGAGGGTCACATGCCACGTTGGCCAGTGAGGCCGACACGAGTGCGCAATGCGGAAATAGGTCTCATCACATTGTCGCTTGACCCCCGCCCCCCGCACTTGCAATTTACGGAAAGGTCTGATATCTGATTATGCACTAAACCGGGCATGGCAAGGTCTAGTTGCGGCGCAGAAATTGAAAGGATGCAGTGGAAGTGGTCAAATTACTTTTCAGATAAAGGAGAAAGGAGAAAGGAAGGAAAGACAACGTGATAACACATAATAGCAGTACATTACACCTAGAACATTAACGGCCAAGCTTGGCCGCACTAAACATGACACGTTACTTGAACAATTTCAACCCAATTATACTATCTTTCTGTACACACAAATTAGGCTTGTACAGACGCTGATAGATAGCTTCCAACACTTTTAACTGTAGTCCATAACCATGACGACCACGGCACAATACAGTTTCTCCTTTGTTCATTTCTCGCTTTGATTATTAAAATTCACACTTGTAAATTTCACTGTTGTTGCTCTTAGTGTTATTTCTCTAACTTAGATTTTCTATAATAGTTCAATTTTTGTTTCAGTGTCCTTTAGTACAACGACGATTCATGATGAGTGTTGTACGAAAACTTGTTTGAATCCATTTTTTTTCCCTACACCATTTCTTCATATTTTCATCGTTTTATTGCACATCGTCTCCACCGTTTTTACATTGCATGAATAAAGTACACAAATGTCGGTTCAGCTAGTTTTATTGATTGCGGTTATCAATAGTAATTGTGTGCAGTAATTGCATCCTGGCATCCTGGCTTCTATGGCGCACACAGAGCGTCGTGGTCAGCGGCAATCTGTTCTGACCAGTATCAAGCCCTTTCCGCCGGACCAGCAGCTGCTTCTGGTCGAGGTTGCCGGCGATGGTGGCGCATCTACCTGGTTGGGTACACAGTCCATGGTTTTAACTCCAAGCAGTATAATCAACAATAATGACTTTCGTGATGCTCTGTGTCTACGCTATGGCTTGGCTATGGATAGTGTGCCGTCATCGTGTGCCAGTGGCCGTGTGCCAGTGGCCGTCAGAAGAAGCGCCAATATGCCGAACGGATCAACAATGTTGATCGCGGCTCGTTCACGCCACTGGTGTTTGCCACAAACAGCATGTGCAGATGCCACCATTTCCCTGCGCACTTTGCCTGCATGTGCAGATGCCACCATTTCCCTGCGCACTTTGCCTGCATGTGCAGATGCCACCATTTCCCTGCGCACTTTGCCTGCATGTGCAGATGCCACCATTTCCCTGCGCACTTTGCCTGCATGTGCAGATGCCACCATTTCCCTGCGCACTTTGCCTGCATGTGCAGATGCCACCATTTCCCTGCGCACTTTGCCTGCAAGAATACATGACCGTAATCGTGAGTCGTGACCCAGGGTCCAGGGTCCAGGGTCCAGTTGGTGGCTTTGCGGAACACTTGGTGTCGAATTCTAATGGAGAGCGGCTTCACGAATTTTGCGAAGACCATCAACTAGTGCTGTGCAACACCCTCTTCAAACACTGCCTCCATCACCGAGCTACTTGGTTCGCAGATGGACTGACTATTATTAATCGTGACCTGCTGTATTCCCTTGATATGCGGCAGTTGCGCTCCAGGATCCGCCTGTGCCTTGTGCAGTAGCAAACCACCTGCCTTCGTGGTGCCCGTGCTTCCTATGCCAGGAGGCATGCTGGTGGCAGTGCTCATGGTTTCGTCGTGGAGTGCCGGGCTTGTGCTCATCTTTTGACCTGACTATGGTCATCAATGTTCTTTTCAAATAGACTGACTTCTACGTTTTTAGCGGTTTCTTTTTCATGCTTTTCAGTGTGTGAGATTTCATTCACTCTTTCCCTCTTTCCTTTCTTCTTCTTTGTAGGAAATTAGGTGTTTCTTGCATACATACCTTCATTTGCTGTTGCACTATGCATTCTTTTTGATAGTTGCAGTTGCTAATTTGGATTGGAATAAAAGAGATTCGCCCAGTAATTGCTTACTGACACGCTGATTCCATGGATACACAGGAGTTATCGCGGACAAAGAAGTGTCTCCTTGGAGATACGGTGTAATCATCTTTTTCAGCGTGTGTATGTGTCAGTAGACATTTTCGGAGCTCCGCCTGGAAAGCTTTTTATAGCTGTCTGAGATGTCCGGGAAGGGTGTGCTCCCACCGGACGTGTCTCAGGACCCGGACACCAGAGGGCAGGACCCCTGGAGGCACCTGACAGCCACGGAGCTCAAGGCTCGGACCGTCACATTCTCAGCGGAGAAAGAAGTCAAACTTGTCGACTACATTAAGTGCTTGGAGCAGCACGGCATCCATCCTGAAGAAATCCTGTCGATCCAGGTAAGCACTGCCGGCCAGTGCCGCCTTAACCTTCGTTTGTGAACAATTAGCCCAACAAGTCTGTGCAAATGGATTCATATTCAAAAGAAATCACATTTTTCCTATTTCCGTAGTAAACAGAAACTTGCAGCTGCACATCCATGACGTTCCCATTTGGGTTGCAGATGCCGCCATTGTTGCTGCGCTTTCCCCGTACGGTGACGTACAGGGTCATATCAGGCATGGGCGCATCACGGTACGCGAAGGTGTACACGTCGCGTCTGGGGTACGGTTTGGCACATTCAAGCCCTCAGCAGGCAAAACCATCCCCAGCTACATCAGACCCCGTGACGGAAAAGGTACTTTCCGGGTGTACCACCAAGGCCAAACGCCCACGTGCAGGATATGCGACTCTACGAAGCATATTGCGAAGCACTGCACTACCAAACAAGGAAATCTCTCGGAGCGTGGTATGCGCCCTGTACAAGGGACTACCGTATCCCACCCCAAAACACTGCTGGGTCTTCGACTGCTCAACAACAACAGGAACAGAATCCCACCGTATCATAATAAACAAATCCAAAAAACTCCTTCACCAACTTCGTAAAACACGAGGCCAACTTAACACCCCCAGTCTGCTCGTAATCTACACCGCCTACATTCGCCCGGTTATAGAGTACGGCAGTCTCGTGTTATCCAACACCACCCGCACACAGAAGGACCAATTAGAACGCGTTCAGCGACGAGCAGCCCGTATCTGCTTGCGGATCCCCTTTTTGCACCAGTCCACCACAGCTCACTTCTTCATCATCTCCAACTTCCCACATTAGTCTCCCGGAAACTCTTACGACAGGTTACTCTTGCCCACAACATCAAGTACATCCGCACTCCCCTTCACCTGCAACAGCCTCACCTTGCACGATCAATTACAGAGCAGCCATATGCACTACGACACATGAGAACATACACATTGAGAACATCACACACATACCGACACACCAACTCACCCATCAACCTGTCCCTTCACAATTTCAACCAACTACCCCCCGACCTGCGTGAAACAAATAGCAAGCATGCGTTTAAATCAATGGCGTCTAGCCTCATTCTATCATCCATATGCTCCTGTAGTAGCTCACACTGTACCCCATCGTAACCCCATCCCCCTGCAATGTGTTGGTTTCCTTACTTGCTAGACTGATTTTATATAATTCTGGACTGATTTGTAAAATGGCAATAAATAAGATAAATTGTGCACTCATAACAACAGCAAAAAATGAAGAAAGTCAAGTTCCATAACGTTTTCTTGTGACTGTCATCAGTGGAACGCCGTCACATAAAAATGTAATAACTAAAACACACACTTATATACATGTAGCTAATATGGTTTCAGGTAGAAATACAGCAGCTAACAAGTACAAAAAGCGAAGTTTGCACCTTTGCAATGTGTGAATATAGTGTATGTGAGAAAGGTAGTGGCAGATGAATGTGATACTGTGTGAATGAATCACACAGTATCACACGTTGTATCACTCACACTCTTCAAGTAATACACACGCACCATTACATTCATTCACACAGTATCACATTCATCTGCCACTACCTTTCTCACATACACTATATTCACACATTGCAAAGGTGCAAACTTCGCTTTTTGTACTTGTTAGCTGCTGTATTTCTACCTGAAACCATATTAGCTACATGTATATAAGTGTGTGTTTTAGTTATTACATTTTTATGTGACGGCGTTCCACTGATGACAGTCACAAGAAAACGTTATGGAACTTGACTTTCTTCATTTTTTGCTGTTGTTATGAGTGCACAATTTATCTTATTTATTGCCATTTTACGACTATTGTCTCCTCGTCGATTGTTTGGACTGATTTGAATCATATTATCTTCCTTATTGGCCATGGGCCATCATGGAAATAAAGAATAATAATATATGGGGAACTTGGAACTCGATTTGAGCTTGGGGAACTTGAAAACAACACAGGTGGCAATACCAATGCATTCAATTCAGCTGTACAATGTACCTTTCTGTCCGCAACAAGTTTCTTATAGCCGGTTGAACCCAGTGAGAGGAGTGTGATGAAAACATCCAGCATAGGTGCAGCCGACGCACGGCCTGAAACACCAACACACCAACACACACACACACACCAACACACACCAACACCAACACCAACACACACATACACAACATGGTTTATTCCTTGTACATCGGTGTACAGGCACAGACAAAGAATAAACTACTAGCAACAGGAGACCAACGCTCCAGTCAGTCCAGTGAATGCAGTGAATGCAAGTTTCCAGACACAAGCTGCAGGCAACCTGGATTTGCAAGAGAGACTCCAGTTTCGCTGTGCACGCGAAGACCAGTCATGTTGAGGCAAAATCATTCTTTGCCAATTCCACGGAGTGGAGCTAACCCTGTCCGGGTTTAATAATATGCGTTTTTTGAAGGGTCAAAATGGAACTGTTTAGTTTTTGGAAATTTACCCAAAATGCTAAACAAATCTTTAAAAAAATTCAAAATTTCACTCAAAATGCGAAAATTATGCTGCCGTTACCATGGCAACCCAAATGGCGTAAAACTTGAATCGCTTGTCGTTCCAAGTGCACGTGGAGGAAGCGCGTGCAAAGGATGTGGTTGTTTTCGATAGCCGAAAGGAATCGATCATTTTGTTTGGTTGTATGGCTTCTTCAGAGCCAAGTGCGCTCGAGGCTGCCGATGAGCATGCTGACTGTGAACCGGAAAGAACTGCACTTGGAGTTTTGGATCGTCTTCGTCCGCTGAAGGAATCAGATCTTAGTAGGAAATGGGTTATTTCTGTGAATAAAGGTTCCTAGAAGAAGGGAGCATACAAGCCACCATCGACAGCCAGGTCCCCAAGAATCGTGGTCCAGCATACCGCGTCAAGGAATTCGCGAATGAGCGCTTGGAAGTCCGGCTGGGCAAGTTGTTTTGTAGCGTTTGCAGACATGAGGTGTCACTCGTTCACAGTACTCTTTTACACCACTTTTTACACCACTTTGCATCCAAGAAGCATACGGACGCAAAGGAGGCACGAGTGAAGAAAACCGAGGAGAAGAAGCAACTTCTTATTGAAGGACAGTACATAGAGGAGAAGAAGCAACTTCTTATTGAAGGACAGGAGTACATAGAGGAGAAGAAGCAACTTCTTATTGAAGGACAGGAGTACATAGCGAGTTCTCGTGCTGAGGGCCGAACGCTGCCAGCTGAAGTGCTTGTCTTAAGAATTCAATGTCTGAAGTCCTTTATGAGTGCTGGAGTACCTTTGGCAAAGGTCGATCACTTCCGTCCATTGCTGGAGGAGCGTGGGGAGCGTCTCACGGGCAGGCAACACCTCGCTGATCTAATTCCAATGGTCAGGGACAACGAACGGGCAGCGGTGAAATCATTCTTGTCCTCAAGACCTGTGTCCATCATCTTCGATGGAACGATGACAGTATGCGAAGCGATGGCAATTGTCGTCCGCTGTGTCGGCAACAATTTCACAGTGCAACAACGTTTGGCCTCTCTGTCATTGGCTGCCCACAGTATGACTGGGGAGCAAGTTGCCCACAAGCTTCTGAGCACTCTTTCCAAAGAGTACCAGGTCCAACCTCATCACCTAATTGCAGCAATGCGGGATCGAGCACCTGTTAATGATGTAGCTGTGCGTGTGATCCGGCCCTTGTATACCAAGCTGATGGATGTGGGGTGCCTTTCGCACACGCTCGATCACGTAGGTGATGCTATCCGTGGATATGATGTTAAAGCCTTTGTGTGCAACTGGATTCAGTTGTTTTCACATAGCCCGAAGTCACGGTTGGAGTGGAAGGCACAAACCAATACCTCCATCCGCACCTACAGCAAAACTCGCTGGTGGTCCAAGTTCCAAGTAATGCAGCAACTGCATGACCTGTTTGGGGACGTTGTTCAGTTCCTACTCCTTGTCGTGCCCGGTGATTCATCGGTTGTGCGCAAACGGATGCGTGAGAATATCCAAGACCTGGAGATGAGGGCTCGCATCCAAATGCAGTTGGCTGTCACCGTGGAGTTTGGAAAGCCGTTTGCTGACTCGATGTATCGACTGGAGAGCGACGGACCACTGTGCTTCATCGCCTATGAGGAAGTGTCTGCGTTGCTGAACTTCGCCAATGCTAATCCAGTGTACTTGCCCTCTACAGAAGCAGTGGCGACAGTGCTGGCCAATGGCAATGCTGGGCATCGCGCAACATGGATTGATTTCGCAAGGCAATGCGTGGTTCCTGCCATCGAGTATCTGAATCGGAAGTTTGGTGCTGGTGGTCTGCTCTACGATTGCGTCCAGGCATTTCGCGCGGCTCGTTTCTGTCACCCTGTGAAGGCGAATGAGATGCGCCCAGCCGTTGCAGACCTCGACGACTTGGCACGCTTCCCTTTCATTGACGCTGCGGACATCAACAGCATGAAGGTGGAGCTGCCGGCTTACCTCGCAGCTTGTGAGGATATCGCTGATGTACAGCCGCTTCAATGGTGGCGAGCGCATGCAGCACAGTTTCCATCCTTTGCAGCCACCTTGCAGAAGATCGTTCTCGTGCAGCCGAGCTCGGCAGCCGCAGAACGGGTTTTCAGTCTGCTTGAGAATTCGTTCAGCAGCAAGCAAGAGTCAAGCCTGGCTGACTACATTGAAGCATCTCTGAAGCATCTCTCATGCTTCAATGTAACAACCGTGACTAAGTGGTTTATGATTGCTGTGGACACAGCAACAAGTACAGCGTTGATTCTTGTGATTCTGGTATAAAAGTGACATTCATATGGTATGACGCTGACATCAATTTGTACAGTATCCTATCTTCCTTCTTTGGCATGGGTCTGAGGTTGGTCATCGTGCGAACATTTTTGGAATCGTTCCTTCTTTGGATACTTTTCTTCACTGTCGTTAAAGACATGTAGCTAAGCTTTGCTGGTGCCATTGTAGTGGAGAAACAATTCCATGTTCTATCATATTGTGGATGGCTAGAACTGCGATAAGTCTAGGTATTATCCTGCTCATTACCGGCATTGTGTTTTGCTTGACATTGTTTGCAGCGTGCCTAGAGTGTGTGCCAGCTATTAGTACTACTTTCTTCTAGCGCAGATATCTAAAACATAGTGCATACTTTGAAGTAGTCAATAGCGACAGCGGTCAGCGTTAACTTTATTATTCATACTATCACTGAAAATCAAGAAGACAGGTTAACCCCGGTGTCCCTTGGCGAATTGTGTACTGAGGTGATAAGTGACAAGGCAGCCTGATAGCAGTTTGAAATGTGCTAGTGCTGATCAGCTGCATGCATGAGAAAATAACCTCAAAATGCAAAATATGCTCAAAATGTTGAAAAATGCTGAAAAAAACCCAAAATGCGGAAAAAAGCTGAAAACACCCAAATGCGGAAATATGCAAAACATAATCCGGACAGGCCTAACTGGAGCACAATCATTGTCTGCTCCAACAGAACGTGGTTGCCATGGTTTCAAAGGCTGCAGATGTGGCAAAAGAAGCCACGGGTGTGTGTCTGATCCCCGGTAGCCTAATCGGTAGGGCACTGTACCGGAAAGACAGGTGTGCTGTATTCGAATCCCACTCGTGGATCCTTCTTTTCCAACACAGATATTTGTCTGCAGTTCAGATTGTCCCCACACCAGTAATAATAATTATAATATCTGCTGATTGCTGAGCAACAGATAGCAGTTGAGAATTAAAACATGCCGAGAACTTCATCCAAGAGATGAAGCAACCATTGCTACAACCAACCTGACCAACCGGTGTGCATTGGACACATGGACGAGAGTCTGATCCTGCGTCCAAATGAAACCGACTTCAAATAATAACTTACAACACAAAGCAGTTTGTTCTAGGACGAGGAGAGAAAACTGCATTTCAACGTTGTCCTTGCAGTATTGGTGCCTGGCACAACATTTAACCCAATGATCATATTTGAAAGGGTTCAGAGAGAGTGTACAAGGTAAACTTTGATATGTTTCAAAAGTGACCTTCCATCATACCGTAGAACATACCCGGATAAGTTTTCGCAATTTCTTCAATGAAATTCTTATCAAAACCGGCAACAACAGCTCCTCCAACTGGAACAAGAAAGTTCTTGTCAGTGCTCTGAATAAAGGCATCCACACGACCACATCGTTGAGCCTGAATGGAAATACAAACACCAAGACAAACTTAATAGGACACACATGTAACGTAACACATACGCATTGACCCACACGTACAATCATGTACACTAGTTGTATGCAGTACACTAGTTGTATGTACACTAGTTGTATGCACACTAGTTGTATGCACACTAGTTGTATGCAGTACACTAGTTAGTAGTTACACTGTGTTACGTGGTCAGCCAGTGATAGCCAGTGATAAATAGAACACAACTACATGCATGGCAGTCGTTATAAAGTTATAAACCAATGGGTTTTTTTCTAGTTAGTTTCTACACATGTTTCTACACATGTTGCATGATGTGGAAACTGGAAACATGGCTTCAAGGGGAAGTATACCCTAAAATCAAATTTTCACCAGTTGTAGTCTTTGGGGTGCTGAGTCGAATGGTCTTGGTCCGAGGAAGCTGAGATGCTCCCTTCCTCCTTTATTCCCAATCGAACTCGCGCACTTCCACCGAAACTGGGTGACTGCGCCCTACTAGATAGGGATTTGTATGGAAAAAGTCACTAAAAACGCCGTTTCGTTCTTATAAAAGCGCGGATGACCGCGCTTCAGGGGCATACATAGGGCGGTTCCCGGGATGCCCGGGAACCAGTAAAACAAATTTGATATGGGTACAGATAATTTTTTGATCCAGTCCCAGCGCTAGTAATGCGCTCACAGACTCACAGTGCAAGTGCATGTCTGGAGTCCGCCTGCCGGTCCGAGGACGGTGACTAGCCCAGGTGTGAAAGTGGTGCTGGGAGTGGGACACAGCGTAGATCAACTGAACTGGGCCATGCCTGAACCCATCATGGGTTCAACAAAGTCTCTAGTCTAGTTACATCGCCGGATTCTTCGATCTCAGAGTCAAATTTTCTTTTGGAGTTTGTTTTGACAAAGTTGGTCGTGTTTTGACGATGCTTTCGCTTTGTGGAAAAGAAAAATGAAGCGTCGACATCCAGAGGGCCAGCGCTCTATTCAGAGCTATTTTGAGCCGCAGGCAAAGTGTGTAGCCAGTGCTAGTGGCGAAGGTCAAGCGATAGATGAGAATGCAGACGCACCTGACGTGCAAGTGAAGCATGCATGCAACGAGCAGCGCTGAGGAAGAAATCGTCGGCGAAGCTGTAGAGCGACCGTTGTTGGAAGCTGCTGGATCATCCAAAACTTACTTCAATGACATGGGAGTGTGTTGGAAGGGATATTCTGAAAGTCGACGTCCACAGTGGAATCCAGTCCCCCGAAATTTGCTGGACACGGAAAAGATTTCCGTCATCGACAATCATTGTGCGCCACCACAGGCGAAGGATTTCATTTCCTGTGCGTGTCCAGATGGATGGCAAACAGCGCCACTTTCAACTATCCTTGTTGGAGGAGTTACCCTGGATAGTCTTTTGACAGGCATGCAATGGTGGCTTCTGCTTGCCCTGTGTGATGTTTGCTCCAGATGATTCGAAACTTAGGCAGCTTTCAAGACTGCATGCAATCGTCATGCTGAACAAAACATCCATAACACGGGGAAAAGTAAGTTCAGTCTTTTAAAATCATAAATGCGTAGCAATGACATCGTCCAGCAGCTTGTGGATGGCAATTTCACCCAGTCTGAGGAGAATATGCAGAAACTCTGTGGGGTACGAAAAACAGCACTTCAATTGTGTGTAATGGTGGTTCATCAGTTGGCATGGGAACCACTCCTGGAGGCGAGCGGCGTACGCCCCTGGCGCTTGGTCCATATGTTGTAGTGTTTTGGCCGCTGAGTCGACTGGGTTTGGTCCGAAAAGGCTGCGATGCAGCATTCGACCCTTATTCCCAATCGAACACGGTTGAGTGAGTGGTCACGTGCTCATTTACAGCCTGTTTGGGCCCGTTTATGTCACTCGAGTTGAACCTTTGAACCAGGGAGTCGTAAAAGCCTCTTACGACCCCCTGCTTTGAACCTTTGAGTTGAATCTTAATGTGAAAATTGTAGTCTGCAGGCACGGTGACCAGGCGACTGGTGTACGCATGAACATCTAGTGTTGAGCAAGAACATACATGTGACATGATTATCTGGCAATTGCCAAAATCCTTGCAAAAAACTTGTACCCAAAATTGATGGCAATAAATAAGATAAATTGTGCACTCATAACAACAGCAAAAATGAAGAAAGTTAAGTTCCATAACGTTTTCTTGTGACTTTCATCAGTGGAACGCCATCACATAAAAATGTAATAACTAAAACACACACTTATTATATGAATGTCACAAGAAAACGTTATGGAACTTAACTTTCTTCATTTTGCTGTTGTTATGAGTGCACAATTTATCTTATTTATTGCCATTTTACGACTAAGGTCTCCTCGTCGATTGTCCAAAAATTGATAACCGCCCTTTTTTGCGATATTCTTGTTTTGTGTATCCAGCATCCTGTGCTCTACGAAGAAATGCATGTTTGGCGGTTGTTCAACTTTTCTTTATTGTCTGTGTAGAAACCTGAAGAAATCACATGGAAACGAGTTATTAAGCAACTATCCACGACTGTAACAAGATAATAAGCAGTCATTGGTCCTACCGTAACCTTGAACCTTCCAAGCTGGAAGGCTGTTGGTTAGCGCACTGGAGATGTTTTAGAGCTAGGTCTCAGGTCGTTGAATGTCTCAGTAGCCTGTCACGTGCCCTGTTATCACACTTTCTGACTGCTTATTATCTTGTTACAGTCGTGGATAGTTGCTTCATAACTCGTTTCCATGTGACTTCTTCTATTTTAAAGCCAATTTTACAGGCATTTCAACGCATGTGTGCTATGGGCTGACGTCGAATGTAGCCAGTCACCTTTTAAAAAGAAAATAAGACGTGAGAAACAATGATAGTGACATACCTCTTCGATAAGATTCATACAGCGAGCTGCCTGGACACCGTAGGCGTTATTGATGATATGTGCAACACCAGAGGTTTTGCACCGTTTAGCTATCTCAACTAACCTGCAAACAACAGAAACACACCAAACACACACACACTCATTGCAATACAGTAAAACCTGTTAATGACCACCTGTCCTAGAGGACCACTACAACCAGTCACTTGGGGTGTTATTTCCAGTCAAATGACCCTGGATAAGGAGAACACCTGTACACAGGGACCACATTTGTAAGGTCTCTTGAGCGGTCGTCACCTTAGATAGGTTTCACTGTACTTGTATTTGATGATTTAGTGAAGAAAAGAAAAAAACATCAACTGGGATTGACCTGCTACACACTGTACACAGCCTACAATAGAGAGGCTCCGGGGTACGATTTTCCGTGCCAAAATCCGTATGGGCGCTGCGGATATTTTCGAGGCGTGCTCCATACGATTTTTCGGCACGGATAATCCGTGTGGACTGGCTTTCATACGAACCATGTTTCGTATGGAGATTTTGCGTCATCGGGTGCAGAAAGATTTTTCGCGTACAAATTTGATACGAGAAACATCGATTTTCCGCGGGAAGTTTTGGTTTCGGTACAAATTTTCAAAATATAAAGGCATAGCGCGGGAATGTGACGTGTTTGGGGTCGTAACCTAGGCAATGACAGCAAACACAGAAGTTCCGTACTCCGGAACATTTCACTGCTCGAAAACGACGTATGAAAAATCCGTAGCGCCTCTACGGATTTTGGCACGGAAAATCGTACTCCGGAACCTCTCTAATGGCTGTGTAGCTACTCCTGTCATGTTTACTAATAGAGCTATGACAAGTGTGACTCAGGCGCATCAGTAAGGGCCTGGTCAGACTGAGCACTGTACGGTGTAAATACTGAGTTGTGCAGTGCAATACAACACTGATGCTGCACTAGTCATTGTACTCCGGGACAGCTCCATCCCAGTCCTGGTTGACCCCGATGGCATGGAATGCACCAAAAGCCACGACAAGGCTAACGTCATCGGGAAGTACTTCGCCCAGAAGTGCAGCCTAGACGATGACTTTGCAGAACAGTCGGGGCCGTTCCCGCATGTCCGCCAGCGCACCGCAAATACGCTTGCAACAGTCCACTTCCGCCAAGCCACCGTACGCCGGACACTCCGAGCCCTGAACCCAAGTAAAGCCACAGGGCCTGATGCAGTACCTGCTAGAGTGCTGAGAAAATGTGCCGACTCTCTGGCCCTGCCCCTATCCAAGCTGTTTACCCTGTGCTTCTGCAGTGGTCATCAACCTGCCATGTGGAAAGTTGCCAACGTCGTACCGGTACACAAGAAAGGCCCCAAGTCGAACCCCAGAAACTACCGACCGATATCACTACTGCCCATAATGTCTAAGTGTATGGAGTCCATCGTGAACCGCAGCCTGTCCAACTTCCTGAAGAAGAATGACATCCTTTCTCACAGGCAGTTTGGCTTTCGCACTGGACTGGGAACCTCTGATCTGCTGATTGCTCTTCAGCATAAGTGGAGCCTTGCAGCTGCCAGTGGAGGCCTCGTCAGGGTACTCGCAGTAGATATTGCCGGGGCCTTCGACAAGGTCTCGCACAACGGCGTCCTCCACAAGGCTGAACGGTGCGGCATAAGTGGCCTCCTCCTTGCCTGGCTCCGGAGTTACCTGACAGACCGCCACATCCGTGTCGTCATAGGTGGCCAGTCTTCACCGACCCACCGAATCCAATCTGGCGTGCCACAGGGCAGCATCCTCGGCCCCACCCTCTTCCTTCTGTACGTCAACGACGCAGAAGACCACCTGCCTGATGGGGCGAAGCTGGCTGTATACGCCGACGACACAACTCTCTACAAGTGCATCACCACCCGACTCAGACTGCCAGAAGAGACAGCAATCCTCCAGCAGGCAGTAGACTCACTGGCAGCATGGGGAAGCAGGTGGAGGATCAAGTTCGAGCCCACAAAGTCGCAGGCATTGACCATCAGCCACCACCGCTCGCCAACCCCCCGAACGCAATACGCTTCCAAGGAGCAGTCGTGCCAGAAGTAGAGGAGCTCAAGCTTCTTGGCGTCACCTTCGACAGGCAGCTGGCATTCCGCAGCCATATCCGACAGCTTGCAGTACGCGGAGCCCAGCGGCTCGGCTTCCTCCGTAAGGCATCGGCTGTGCTAGACCCAAAGCACCGGGCAATCGTGTACCGTGGCTTTGTCCGCCCTGTGCTAGAGTATGGCATGCTGGTGTGGATGAGCGCAGCCCCCACCACCTTGGCCCGCCTCACTGCCATCCAGCGCCGTTCCCTGCACATAATTGGAGATGGATCATACCTCCCGAGCCTCGACATTCGCCGTACCGTAGCAGGGCTCTGCTTTCTGTACAAGCTGCACTTTGTGGAGGGTCCGGAAATGGTGAAAGCCATTCTGCCACCATCAGCAGCCGCACCGCAACACCGCATGCCTACTCGAGCGACAACCAGATCTGCAACACATCATCCATCGCAACTCACCAGTATCCTTCCCCCTCAGGCACGAAACAACGCGCTCCGCTCATTTCCCCACTCCCTCATCGCAACGTGGAATCAGCTCCCACCTACCCTTCTGCAGTCTCCCCCTTCTCGCAGAGGCATGCACACGTTCAAGAAAAACGTCAACGACCACTTGCGGCGCAGCAAGTGGGAGTGGGCCACAGACAGGCTATGATCTCTGCCAACACACCAGCCTAATTATACTGACCGCACTCCAGCTCCCTTCTACCCCTCTTTGATCCCCTTCGCTCAGCCTTAAAATCCGACTATCAGTTCACTCCATCTTCCTACGGTGCACTGCTTTTACTATTGTTTTGTCCTATCCCAATCTCAAATTCTCCCCATTATCGTTTGCAAAGCCGGTGCTCCCCTCTTGGATGCACATGTTTCTTTTCTCCTATGTATCGGCGCACAGGAGTAACAATGATTCCGAGACCTTTGGTCGGAGGAGTTACTTTTGCCCCGCCCCCACTTCCATCCAATATGCCACCGCCCCCGCTGTGCAGCATCTGATGGTACTGTGGTATTCAGTAAAAAAAACAAAACAAAATAAAAAAAAACTCAGACATCAGTAGTCACAGTAATCTACAGGTGTACTTTAAGAAACCGTCTCTTGTACTTTGAAGCAGCTGCGTAGCACCAAACAAAATACAAACCTAGGTAAGCTAGGTAAAGCTAGCAAACTAGGAGGGGGAATATGCACACATACATGTGAGCAAGAGTGCATCACCTACTCTTTAGGTGAGCGACTGTACGTTATTAATACTCATTTTCCCAATTACAAAAATCACTTGCACCATGCATGTGATATGGTGAACAGAAAACACTCAACTACTGCATTGCTTACCGGTCCGGTGTGCGTGGAGCAAAGCAGCTTGTTGTGCTCATCACACACACTATGTTGTCAGCACCAAGGTGTTCAATCTGTCTACCCAGCTCCTCCATATCAGTACGTAACTCATCGCCTTCTAATCTGTTCTCTATTACCACTGGGATGAAGCCTAACACACACACACACACACACACACACACACACACACACACACACACGCACACGCACGCACGCACAAAAGAAAATCCGAGGAAAACACTGCTACACTAGTAGAGATTGATGGGTATTATTATTATGGCAACGGAGGAAGCTACGCGTACTGCTGCAGATTGTCTACCCGCAACGCATCACCAATAACAACTTATACACAGAAACAAAACAATCTCCAGTTAGTGCCACATGCCGGCGACGCAGGCTGCTGTGGTTTGGTCATGTGGTGCGAGAGGGTCCAGAATCCGCCTCGTTCCAAGCACTGGAGCTATCAATCAACACAAACGACATAAAAAACCGCCATTGCGGTGGATAGATACGATTCGGCACGACCTGAAGGCAGCGGATCTCTCCGTGGAGAGCGCTCTCCAAGCTGCAGGAGATAGACAAACTTGGCTTGACACTGTTGACAGATGCGTCGACTCTGCTCCTGTCTAACAGGTTCAGGGAAGATGCGAGCTGTGTTTATTATTATTATTATTATTATTGTGGAAGAGAAAAGGACATATGGATACGAGTTAAGAGTAACTCTCCATCACTGTAACATGATACTATATACAGTCAGAAAGTGCAATAATATAATCATGTTACAGTGATGGAGAGTTACTCTTAACTCGTATCCATATGTCCTTTTCTCTTCCACATTTATTTATGGCTCAACATCCGAGTTTCAAATTATTATTATTATTAATATTAAACTCAATCTCGTAGCATGTGCACGCAGTGCTAATGTGGGGAGCAACCCCAGAGATGAGGGCGATAACCAGCCATGGTAAAAGTACAAAAGAAAACAAGAAAACAGTGGAAAGAAAGGAACAGGGAGGACACAAAGCTCAGCCAAAAAAGGAACAGGTATAGGCTATAGCTACTAGTTATAGTGTGCTTTGCATGCCTGATCTATGCAGCACTATGCAGCACCTGATCTATGCAACACTATGCAGCACCTGATCTATGCAACACTATGCAGCACCTGATCTATGCAACACTATGCAGCACCTGATCTATGCAACACTATGCAGCACCTGATCTATGCAACACTATGCAGCACCTGATCTATGCAGCACTATGCAGCACCTGATCTATGCAACACTATGCAGCACCTGATCTATGCAGCACTATGCAGCACCTGATCTATGCAGCACTATGCAGCACCTGATCTATGCAGCACTATGCAGCACCTGATCTATGCAGCACTATGCAGCACCTGATCTATGCAACACTATGCAGCACCTGATCTATGCAACACTATGCAGCACCTGATCTATGCAACACTATGCAGCACCTGATCTATGCAGCACTATGCAGCACCTGATCTATGCAGCACTATGCAGCACCTGATCTATGCAACACTATGCAGCACCTGATCTATGCAACACTATGCAGCACCTGATCTATGCAGCACTATGCAGCACCTGATCTATGCAACACTATGCAGCACCTGATCTATGCAACACTATGCAGCACCTGATCTATGCAGCACTATGCAGCACCTGATCTATGCAACACTATGCAGCACCTGATCTATGCAGCACTATGCAGCACCTGATCTATGCAGCACTATGCAGCACCTGATCTATGCAGCACTATGCAGCACCTGATCTATGCAGCAATGAGAGCACAGCCATGCCTGAACTATGCAACAATGAGGGCACAACCATTCTGTTGGATGATTGCTGTATTCAGAGAGGGGCGAGGTGTTGAACATTTGGCAGTTCATCTTCAGCCCCCCCCCCCCACACACACACACAAACATGCACACACTCAAGAACAAGCAAATCGAGACTACACAGAGTTGGCACTCTGTCCTCGAAGAAACACGGAAAAGTAAAATCAAAATTATTGTAAAATCATACTAGTTGAACACTGGTAATCTTGCATACTTCCCTACCTGCTGTAACCATGGACTTGAAGCAGGATTTCTGATCAATACGAGGCCACAGGACGTACTTAGCGGCTGGCTTGGTGGCACGGAGCGTCAACATTGTCAAAACTAGACTCATTCCCGTTGCTACCGGCAACAGTACACAGCTTGCTGTGGAACGGACACCTACAGCAAAGACAGCAGAACACCATAGGAACACAGGAACACATCAGCTACACATAGTACGCACAAACCTCTTTTTATGACTACTGAGCAGATAACCTACCAGCATACTATTAACTTACAGGGCCACCTGACCAGAACCGGTGCAGCACGCCATGGCCAGACCATTTTCCCCACCTGAATGGTTGACTTGATTCGTTCAAAACCGGTGTAAAAAGGATTTAGAGGTCAGGATTTGGTGCATGACGAGTATTGCTCCAAATGAGCATGTTTGCGGCACGACCTTACCATCTACCAAAGCAGAACTAGTCTTTCCTATTGAGAATGTATACGCGAGTTAAAAGGAAGCGAGCATGAGACTCGAACAGCGATCAAGGAAGTGGTAAGTGGTAAAAATGATCCGTCGTTTGATCTGCCCAAGTAGACTGTACATCCACAGCATACATGTGCACATAGATACATAACTAGTAACTATTATGTACATACTAATAACTATTATCTACATGCACCGGTACACATATGTCGGTTCTCCTGCCTTCGTAACTGTTTATACTAGTGTGGCATCCCCCCCGCACACATCTCCCCTCCCCCCCCCCCCCCCCACACACACACACATACCCCTCATGGCCGGACCACTCCACAACTCCTTCCTCCGGCACCGCATTATACCGCAACTGCCACTCCTGCAACTGTGTACAAAGATCAGTATCATCAGCTATCATTGAGGAGTGGAATAGTCTTCCACCAGAGCTTCCACCAACACCACCTACAACTAGAGTGCTAACAGCCAGAGTGAGTGTATCTCGGACTCAACAACCCACATGCACCTTTTGCTGGACATCCTTGGACTCAACAACCCACATGCACCTTTTGCTGGACATCCTTGGACTCAACAACCCACATGCACCTTTTAACCCACATGCGCCTTTTGCTGGACATCCTTGCTCCCTTTATTTGCATACAAGTATTTTTTTCTGACATGCACCCTCTTTTTGACCCTTCAGTTGGCAGAGCCAGTGTGAACTTCGCATTGTATTTCTCAATATCCGGAGTCTGCGCAACAAAATCAATGACTTACTAGCAGTCACACAACTAAACGTCCAAGACGTAGTCTGTATCAATGAAACCTGGCTCGACGACACGGTCTCAGACCAAGAAATCGCACTGACTGGCTATAATGTAACACGAAGAGACCGCATTTGTCGTGCCGGAGGAGGAGTTTGCAAATACTGGGGATCTTGTCTGCCTGTGAAGCCAAGAGAGGATATAGCAAAAGATAGTGTGGAAAGTTGCTGGTGTGAAGTCACTTGCAAACCCCGCAGTTGTCTTGTTGGAACTCTCTACCGCCCTCCATCGGAACCTGTGAGTTGCTGGGACAAGTTTCGCAAACATCTTCATGCCAATCTAAGGCCACAGCCAAATGCTCTCATTCGTGGTGATATTAATGTGAAGACTGACCGAAATGCAGCATCTGGACCCACAGCTATATTGCTTATACGACTTGCTAAACAGCTATGCTCTGCATCACGGTATTCAGCAGTCTAGGAGATTTAGCCCAACAGGTTCAGACAGCACCCTCGACTTGATACTCAACAATGTTGACCCGTCCAAAGCAGCGATGATCATCCCGATCGCATTCAGTGATCATGCGCCTGTGGTCAGTGACTTTCAGCTCACTGTGCCTCGTGGATGTAGCGTTGTACGCTTACATCGCAACTATCACTGGATAAATCATGAAACACGTCCAGCAGGACTTAACCCATTCCTAATCTGTATAGCATTACAGATAACACAAACACCACGTGGACGGAGTGGTCTAGGAGATTCATTGAGGTGTTGGATGTCCAAGCTACAGAGACTTGGAAAGTGATCAAAAAGTTGACAGGCAAACAGTCGACATACCGCGATCTATAGTGCAGAGTGAGTACAATTTGAGAGTACAATTCGAGACGCATTTTCGAAAGTGGTGCAAGATCCAGGACGCCCTGCACAACTACCGCTACCCTTTGGGGCTCCATCCGCGGTGCACTTTTCAGAATTCTCATCAGTCTCCATGGCAGCTACCCGGAAAATGTTAGTACAGTTGGATAGCAGAAAGGCCCCTGGGAGTCATGATATTCCAGCAAGTCTCCCCGGACGTTTAGATTCATGCTAACATCCTGACACCATCACTCAAGCTCCTATTTAATAAGTCACTGAGAAAAGGACAGTTTCCTGCAGCAATGTGAAGAGAAACCCTGCATCGACATGTACAGTTGTGGCAAGTGAAATCCGACACTTGCCATAGGGGACAGCGCCACAAATGGACACCAATGATGTAATGGCAATGCACTGCACCTAATTTGTACAATAGAGCCGTATGCATCCCAAACAGATCGAAAGGTCACAGCGTAGATACACACAGTTCACAAACATGGTACACATAAGGAGTATTGGTAGCCAATCCTCATTCATTTTTAAATTTTGCCAGCACCTTTTGAACCTTGACTGTGAACCTTGACTGTGATGAGTACGAGTTTTGTCATCAGACAGATAAAGTTGTATGTAACACATGTACTGTACGTATGCAGGGCTGCAGGGGCTGCAGACTGCATGGTGCAGTCCATCATGCCAAGTGTCGGATTTCACTTGCCACAACTATAGTATCATCAAGAGTAAATGAGCTTCCAAGAGTGTGCAACTCTCCGACAGCGAAAACTCATATCACGTGCTCGAAGTAATACCATATTATACTCCATGTACATACTTGTACAATGAAGGCCAACGGCGCGCGCAGTCCGAATATCTGCCATGATCATGCTGATGCTGAGTGGGTTTCTGTCGGCGAGTGCTATTTTTACTACTCCACTGGTCGCTAAAAACGGGCTGGGAATGTACCACGAGAACACTACACCATGTGATGTGAGTTTTGCCATTGGCTGATCTCTGTAGGTATCCAGAGTTGTACACTCTTGGGAGTGTATGTATGCTTGGTATCATGTACCGAGTGAAAATAATGTGCACGGGTTTGTCACATGATGTGAAGTTCTGCCGCCATAGACCCCATAGACTGGAGTTGCACACATTCTTGTGAGATATGCCCTCCCTACCCTTACACATAGTCCCATGTGGGTTAAAAAAATTCCGCCTTGCAAATTTCACACCTATCAAATGAACTGACCAAGTACTGTACTGCACTTTGCCTGAGCACCCCAATATCCAGTTTAATTTGAATTGGCAACAGGGGATTGCGTTATTAAAATAACACAGGCCCCTGTTGTTGGCTATGCCACTCTGCTCACGCCTGCCCATCACCCAGAGACCCCCTAGCGATCTCACTGGCCCATTGCCCGCCATCCTCCTGGCACCTCCACCCATCTCCTGTACACTGCCTCCCCATCGCCTCTGTCCGCGCTTTCATGCTCACCCCTGCCTGTTGCCCGCCACCCTCCTGGCACTTCTACTGTCGCGCCTTGGCCCGCGCTAGCATTCTCTCCATACCTTACACCAGATTTAGCGCTAAATTTGTTTATGCTTGTGGCCCTATGTGTTTATAAGCATACTGCTGGGGTAGATCCAAGTATCAGTTGTCTGATGATTGCCTAACGGCATGACACTCAGAGTTACAACCAACCTGAACGTCCTCCGCTGAGTCTGCTATGTCCTATGTGGGTTATGCATTCCTTGCCCCTACCCATAGTCCTATGTGGGTTGTGACCTCCTTGTCCTTACCCATAGTACGCATCACATCCAGTAGCAGCTGATTAGTTAGCTGGACTAGTAGAGATGAACCAGCTGCTTTAGGCTGTACTGCTGTGACATCACCGGACCTACCTACACCATGACCAAATCTACATACAGAAAGAAGAGAAAGAAGAGAAAAAAGTTCAAAAAACCTAACAATCCGCACATCAGGGGAGGATGAACGTACACCAAGGCGGTACAAAAACACACATTGCCTCTAGCTCTAATTCCATCAGCCACCACACCAGTTAGGTGTAACGGATGAGGCTGTTACAACTTACAACTATTACTTACAAGTTCTTCTTTCAAACGACACCAACTCACTAGCTACTCCCACACAAAATGAGAACATTATTTTTAGAAACAATCATGTGTGACTGCTGTGCCAAGTAAGAATATACCAAAAAAAATTGAAGGCACTCACCCAAAATGTCTCTTTCTGACTAGTGCTGAGTGCACCCGAGACTCTCTTTCACCAACGCCAACATTGGCTGAAGCATACAGGACAGTGAGACAGGAAGATAGGAAAAGACAAAGGAGCTGGAGGCGTACTTGGAAGAAAACCTACACATGTTTAAAGCAGCAAAGGTACAGGGCTATTGCACACTATATTTTAGGGGTCAAAGGGATGTTCCGGGTACCCAGGTACCTACACCCCAGGCCGTCTACAACGGCGAGAACAAGCACGGACGGAGGCCAGAAACAAGAGCCCAAAAAAGTACAACCGTCCTCCACCAGAGCAGAGAACCCACACACAAGCACACACACACGCACGCACGCGCACACACACACACACACACACACACACACACACACACACATACATACAACGTACACTTCAGCATCCACTGACAGAACATACAGACACCTGCATTCTTGTCTTGACCATGTGTGCTAAATATGGTATCTTCTAAGCTATTACAATGTACATGACTGATGTCTTTATTTACTACAGTACCACCAACATGCTAGCAGTATTTACTACAGTACCACCAACATGCTAGCAGTTGCCAAAGAAACCGATGAACTAATGCATGGAAGCGATTGCCTTCATTAGAGGGAAGCTGCATTTGACTTTAAGTAGTGTGCAAACAACCTTAGAATATTGTAGCACAGCTAAGATGATGACTGGAATCCACAACAACAACAACAACAACAACAACAGCAACAGCAACAGCAACAGCAACAGCAACAGCAACAGCAACAGCAACAGCAACAGCAACAGCAACAGCAACAGCAACAGCAACAGCAACAGCAACAGCAACAGCAACAGCAACAACAACAACAACAACAACAACAACAACAACAACAACAACAACAACAACAACAACAACAACAGCAACAAAAACAACAACAACAACTTCTGCCATCGTGAGAATAAAGAATTCAACAACAACAACAACAACAACAACAACAACAACAACAACAACAACAACAACAACAACAACAACAACAACAACAACCACTAAGCAGCAGCAGCACAGGGGCACCACCACTAAATGAGTCACACTACACTCACCAGGAAAGTTGTTACTATCCATTTGCGAGATTTCTTGAAGAAAGAGCTCAATGGCTGCATCGTCCCAACCATTCACTGGCCACTTTCTCTGTAAGAATACATGCACACACACACACACACACACACACACACACACACACACACACACACACGCACGCACACAAAGGTTTGCTGAGCCAGCCATCCCCATTGTCCTAAGGACATTGGACGGTGCAGAGCACTCGGTTCTGAACTCAGCGTCTGGCCATTCCCTCACACCGATGGCTTTGTGCAGCTACGCAGTGAGCGTCTAGTCATACCCAGTGCTGCTGTCACCCGGGTCCTGACACTTGCTCACAGTGCTCATCCATAAGATGAAGGGGCGACTCAAAGAAGTTGTCTGGTGGTCCACCTGGACAAAAGCCGCGGAGACCTTCGTCAAGATCACGGACTCATGTGCACAGGCGAAATGACCTTGGACTCAGCCCTGCCAACTTCCACCAGCACCATGGCATATTGTCGCCATCAACATCTTCTATTTCAACAGCAAGGGCTGCCTCAGAATTCTAGGTATCTGTTGGCAGCACCATTGTAGAGTAAATCGTCAGCCACGATGGTCACCATGGTCACAGCCCTGGAAAGTTTCTTCTACCGGTTTGGTGTGCCTGCAAGATTGATCTCCGATAATGGCCGGCAATTTGTCAACAAAGAGTTTACAACCTCACTTCATTCGTTGAACATTGTGCACAACCCAGCACATACGAATACTGTACACGTGCCAGCACATAAATGATATTCACTGGACAGGATAACATTGAAGAGAAATTATAAACAGCTGGTCTGAAGATTTGAAGAACGTGGCTGCTCCTGAAGTTGGAGCTCATGCTTCCTGCCAACTGACTGACTGACTCACAACTACTGTCTGAAGCGCAAGAGAAACTTGAACTCCCTGCACAGTGTTTCAGGAGGAAGGGGGGGGGGGGGTGTCACCCTCAACTGATGAGCTTGAGCAGGCTACTGAAATCCCTGCTCTAATAGCATTACACGATATAGCACACTCACAAGCAAAACATCACCAGGAATACCACTCGCAGTGACACTCCAACACCCCAACGCGACAAACAGCCCGTGAGGCTCACAGGCCTGTGGTGTTAGACAATGTCGCACATGAAGCGGTGAGAACCGACGCTGAAGACCATTGACCATTCTCAATGCACCACTCCCTGGACATAGTGCCCCCCCCCCCCCCTCCTATAATATACGTACTGTGTGGAATGCTCTGTCTCAGGGATTTCCCCTCTCCTTAATAACTAGTTCGGTTGGAGAAGGTAACGCTTTTCCTCTCTCTCTTCGGAGAGAGACGGTTTTTATCAAACTGGCAGACCATCGCTGAGGAATGGACTGCAGCTAGCTCCAGCGCCTCCATGCTCCATTCCAGGCTGGCTCCCACGGATGATTTGACGCGGGTGGACAACACTGATGCGATTTGACGCGGGTGGATGTGGACACTGATGCGGATTCGTCATGGAGAGCCTGGAATCGTTGCTGAAGGTTGACTTTCCATCAGTGCCAGGGGAGCAGGCCAAGGAGTCTGGACCACCACCACCCAGCTCCCCCGCCATCACCGAATTCCTCGCAGGTCAGCTTGCCATGTCCTCACTGTTTTGTTTTCTCTGTTTCTTCTTCGTTCGTGATTTGTCATCTGTGTATGCTGGTTCTTTTTCCAGTTTCTCTTTTGTTCGCCTCCCATTCGCTTCTCATTCTACCGAAGTGTACCCTTCCCCTAGTCCTCTCCTCTCACGTCCTCCCTTCGACTCTGTCCATGCTCTTGTGTTTTCAATTTCATGTAGTCTGTCCGCCGTTCCATTTCTCCTTCGTTGAATTTTGTTTTGTTTTTGTTTGTTATCGTTTTTTTGTTTTTTTTGCTTGTATGAATACTGTTCTTGCTTCGTTTCCCCACGATTTGTTTCTCTCTGTATGTTTTCGTCATGAGGCGTTGGCATAATCAGTTTGGCACATGCGAACCTGGGCAACCTCCATCCAATGGGGGCCCCAGCAACGTGTACGTGCATAATAATAATAATAATAATAATAATAACCGTGCAGCTATGCTCCACAACATCCACCTACTATGTCCATCAATAGCAACAATTTCGAAAAACTTTTACCGCAGCACAGTACCTCTCCACGTCAGCGGTACGGTCATCTGGTCTGCTGAAGGCACCACGCAAGGCTGCCCACTAGCCATGCCCCTCTACGCTATTGCCATTACGCCACTCGTCACTACCCTCGCCACCGCCCTTATGGACGACTCTCCAGCTGGCACGGTGCATGACCGCGAATCACCTGAGACCAGCCGGCGTCGGTGCGTCCGCTGCTCGACCGGACGCCTCGACCATCCAGCTATGGTATGCCGATGACGCGGGAGCCGCTGGCCTGCTGCAGCGCCTTCGCACCTGGTGGGACCAGATCTGTCAACTTGGCCCAGCATTCGGCTACTATCCAAACGCTGCCAAGACTTGGCTGGTTGTCAAGCCCGAGCATCTCGATGCTGCCAACGCTGCATTCGCCGACACCGATGTCCACATCACCACTGAGGGCCGCCCCTACCTGGGTGCTCCTCTGGGCTCGGAAGCCTTCAAGACAACATTTTGCAATGCTCGAGTGGAGGCTTGGGCATCTGAGATGCGTGAGCTGGCGAACGTGGCCGAGGCCGAGCCCCAAGCCGTGTATGCCGCACTGGTCTTTGGGTACCGTCACCGCTGGACATTCCTGATGCGCGTGTCGAGCTGTGCACCAGACGTCTTCGAGCCTCTCGAGTCCTCTCTTCGCTCCGTCTTGTTGCCAGCTCTATTGGGTGTGGCAGTCGTCCCTGCCCCTCTACGCAGCCTCCTTGCTCTGCCTGTGCGTCATGGTGGCCTTGCAGTGCTCAATCCAGTTGGGGCTGCCCCGCAATAGCGGACAGCATCTCTGTCCATCACGAGCAGTCTCCAGCAACTTATCGCGGATCAGTCCTCCCTCTACAGCGTAGACCCAGCAACCATTTGCGCCGCCAAGGCTGCTGCCAAGCAAGCCCAGTCTGTGACTACCAAGACCGTCCTGCAGACAGCTGGTCCAGAGGCCCTACCACCAATGCTTCTGGAGCACCTCCAGGCCAAGGGAACAGGTGCATGGCTGACCTGTCTTCCTGTTCGCGAGCATGGATACTCCCTCGACCGGCGGTCCTTCGTTGATGCCCTATGCATTCGGTATGGCCTCACCATCCACGATTCACCTACCGAGTGTCCATGCGGCCGGCCGTTCACCATCGACCACGCAATGATCTGCAAGTTGGGCGGCTATCCCATCCACCGGCACAACCATGTCCGCAACTACCTGGGCCAACTTCTCTCTCAAGTGTCTGAGGATGTGCAGCTGGAGCCACCGCTGCAACCTCTACCGACGGTCCGCACGTTTGACCATGGTCCTGCCCTGCTCACTGCGGACAACGCCAGACCGGACATCAGGGCCAGGGGGTTTTGGTCGGTACAGACTGATGCATTTTTGATGTAAGGGTGTTCTATCCCAACGCACAGTCGTACCGATCTCGCCCGCTGGCTGAGGTGTTCCAATGGCACGAGCGTCAGAAGCAGTCGGCATACGGTGCCCGGATCCGGGAAGTTGAGCACGCGTCGTTCACCCCGATCGTCCTGTCTTCTGCTGGTGCCCTGGCGAAGGAGGCCACCCGGTTCCTGAAGCTGCTCGGAACGAAGCTCTCCACCAAGCTCTCGCAGCCTTATCCCCTCGTGATGGGAAAGCTGCGGACGGACCTGGCTTTCAGCCTTGTCCGCGACTCCGTCCTGATGGTTCGTGGGAGTCGCCGTGCATTCCGTGCACCTGGTCTGGCGGCGGATGTGGATGCTGTTTCTGTGGAGGCCCGCATTCCCGCCACTACGTGACGCTAAGTCCTCCTGGGGTTTGCCGCTCTCCGGTCCTCTTTCATCCCGTTCTCCCCTCTTTTTTTGGGGGGATTCTTTGTACTTCGTCTTTCTTGTTTTTCTTGTTCCTTTGTTTTTTGTAGGACAGATTTTTGGTGTACTGATTTCGGTTGTTGTTGTGTCTGACTCTATTCCCAATATCTAATTCTGTGGTTGGTTTTCCAACTCATTGGGTTGTAGTTTCCATCATGAGTTTTTTTATAATAATAATAATAATTACTACGTGCTCTGTCACAAAACATAGAACACTCTTCAAGCTGTCAAGCACCCTACATGTACTACTACTACTTATCTGTATTATAAAACTGCATCATTCAACGCTTTCCCAAATACGACGATCTACTTTTCGCAAGGTCTTGACCATTGGGAGATATTCCATTCTGGACTGGAAAAATTGGCCAAGGCATGTATGGACTGGATGCTTACTTGGCCAAGGCATGTATGGACTGGATGCTTACTTGTTCAAGTAAAAGTCGTATCTGCGTCCGCTTTGAAGTGCGAGCTTCTGTTGCCTGACGAATATATGTTGCAGGAACAAGCTTCTCCATAAGGTGATAGCATGATTCGTCCATGTCACTTCGTTGGTACAATACATGTACAAGGTACAAGTGAATATTTGTGTTGCAGCAAGCTACATGAAGGCATTCGACCTTTCCTCCTACAAATCTCCTAGATACAGAAGATTTCTTGCAGGAGTAGTTCAGTCAGGCTGCTACTGAGCTCGCACAAGTGGGTGACTGAGTGCGTACGTGTGCTTCTTTCTTTCCAAACGCGATTCAAACAGCAAACAAAAAGCTCAAGCTCCAATTCCAAACCAAAACAAACTGCAAAAGGCAAAACTCTTTTTGAACTCTTTTTGAAATGCTTGTGGCACGTGCACAATGAGTGGAATCAACTCCCAAGGCAACCAATATGGCGTTTCAAATCTTGCGAAACCAGACGCGCGAAAGATCCTTCGAGAACTAAAAAGTAAAAATCGAATGTGTGATCTGTGATGGAGCTTTTGTTGTCGGCGATCCTTTGACATCTCCACTCCATGATCTGATGATCCAGGCTGCTGTCAAGCAGTCGTACGTCCGCGAAGGTGTGTCACGGCCCAGTGACTGCTGACTAGTTCATTTCATTGTGCCGCAGCTATTCCTGTCGTGGCCACGGCTCGCGGACAAAGAAACTACCATCACTTCAAGATTTCTTGCTTTGTGATCGATTCTTGTCAGGGACGACTTTCATTGTAATTTTTAGTAGTTTGTAGCAGAATTTGAGGCGAATTTGTAGCCATGGCTGATGCTCACTCTGTGGCCACGTTCATATCCGTGGCTATCGCTGTGGTAATGTACTTCTACTCCAGACAATCAACAAATGAATTGTCTTTACAACTTGTCAGAAATGGACTCTTAGAAGAAGAAGCCAAAGCCAGTGTTGAAGACAAACGTGTTGCTGTTGGATTTGGTGGATGCCGGGATGTATTCGTTGATGCTGTCGACTTGTTTGACAAAATCGGGAGTAAGCCTCCATCCAGCACTCGTCATTACAGCAACGTTGGAAACCAGGCAGAAGTGGATCAGTTGTTCGCCTACTTCTTCCAGCATGGAGCCGCAGCTGAGTAAGCCATACATGTACATGTAACAGCGAGTTGCAGCATCTAGGGAGACAATATGGGCAAAAGGAGCACCGGACGATGTGGGCTTTGCTCCCGAGATAACTGCCCGTTCCAGTCTCCCTGAGGGGGGGGGGGGGGGGAGGGGCTCATATGATCATGCACTCTGGCTAAAGCCTGGTTCACACTAGGCCGATTTTCCGGCCGACATGGACTCGTACGAAAAATCCTCAAGATCGGGGCGAAAATTGCGTAGTGTGAACGGTGTTGTCATACAGGGTTCCGACAAATCTGCGGCGATTTTCTTGTCGCACTAGTTTTCGACCAAGTATCGACTGGTCGATATTTAGCCGAAAAACCGGCCGATTTTTACTGCTTGCACGTGATGGAGCGGGATTCGGACCAATCACGGTACGCTTTTCACCATGACAGCAAAGAGCGTCGATGTCGAGCTCATGACCTCTTGTACTTTGTACTCTTGATGAAATGTAAAGTCCTACCAAAATTTCATAACCCCCATGAACTCTTGCTTTTATCAAGAGTACATTGCTTTTATGGATAATCGATGCGACTCTATTGCGAGTGAGTCGTTCCCGTGTGTGAACAGGCCGTCCGACTCAGTCGACACAGTCGGCAGACTCCATGTCGGAGTCGGTGTCGGAGCACCGGCCGGAAAATCGGCCTAGTGTGAACCAGGCTTTAGGGATCACTGGTCTGGGCTGCGTTTGGGGTCAACTGGTGATGGCCGCGATTGCAAGTTGCACATAGACCACGGATTGCGTAGAACTTCCAAGTCTGGGATCGAAACGCACATGGTTTCGGGTACAGTATTGCCTGCATCGTCTCCCTACCCTATATATATGCTCTACAGTCCCCTGGTGTCCACATGAGTAGGAACTCGGAAATACACTGTACAAGACACCGTCTATCTGTACTGACTGTAGACTGTAGTACAAATAACATGCTGAACTGTCATAGACGATTCACATGGGGGAGGGGTAGTCTCTGGTAGCAAGAGTTCATAACCCCCAGGGGTTATGAACTCTTGCTGGTAGGCATACATTTTCCCAATGCTCAAAGTAGATCTGGATCAGCCATTCTCATTCGCATCACAGTATCGTATGGGTATCTGAGACTGAGTAATGTGTAGTGGGAGGGTTAAAATGTCTACATTGGAGTGTGAGGATTCTTATCAACGTCCATGCACTCACTGTTTGATCTTCTCTTGCTTTGTTGGTTTTGTGCAGACGCTATGTGTGGGATAGGAAACTATTCAGAAATCTTGTCAGCTCATCGGAGGACATGAAAGACGTTCGTTCAGTTATCGGTGGTAATGCTCCTGTTATGGCAAATCGATTTGCACGTGAAGGTGCCAGTGTCTTGTTGGGGTCGACATTCAAGCGCAGCACTGCGGAGAGTGGCCTGTGGAAAGGTGTTGTCTTGGCCGGTGGCGATGCTGCGTATCGTGATGAAGACGATGTTCATTTGGTCATGGAGTATCCGGCAAAGAAACAGTGGGGACCATACCAGGCCTCGCGTGCTAATCGCTTCATTTTACACAGTGACGTGGCGAATGCAAAGCTGGAGTCACTGCAAACTCTCAAGAAAGAATTGAAAACCCTCAGCGCTAATCTCCTTGTTGTTAGTGGCTTACAGATGATGGATAGCTTTCCGTATGCCGCTGGTGAACGCAAGAAACTCCTTGAAGGCGTAGAGAAGCTGATGACATCCACCGGGGAAAGCACACGTCGTCACTTTGAACTGGCCAGTATGTCTGATGAAAGTCTGTTCAGTGACCTCTTGGATCATGTTATACCCTACTCTGACTCACTGGGTATGAATGAACAAGAACTGGCACTAATACAGTCTATGATCCTCCACAATAACCTGACCACCGTTTCCGATTCCAACCCTCGACTGGCTTCTGCGCTGGATCAGATGCGCGATGTCTTGACTGGCCTGAGAGAAAGAGAAAAGGCTGGTGGTCGTCGTCTAACTCGACTTCACGTTCACACTCTGGCTTACCAGGCCATTGTCACGTTGCGTGGCTCAGCGTGGAAAAACTCCGGGCCGGCTGCTGCTAAAGCTGCTCTGACAGCATTCCGTCACACGTGTGCCAGTGATGATATTGATCTTGAGCGATCTCGACTCATCATGGACACGTCCTTCATGTCATCCTTGCGTGGTGACGGTAAACGCATCAGTGTGGATGCCAGTCAGCCTGTCACGTGTTGGTCTGAAGACGACTATGAGTTCTGTGTGGCTCCCGTATTGGTCTGCACACGGGTCTTCCAGACTGCCGGCGGAGGAGACAATATCTCTGCCTCGGGTCTTGTTCTGCAAATCTAACAACACCTCCAGTACATGTATGACTACCAGCATGTACCATGTCAGTGTTGTACTCTGTGTGCAAGTGATACAGCTCATTTCTTTCTTTCTTTTTATAGTTATAGATCTTTTAGTAATACGTGCACACTGCTGTTTGTTGCTATAGAAATTGTCTTGTAAATCTGTAGTATATGTCATGTTCTTTTCTATCCTTGGGCACAAGTTGGTGTTCTGCTCATGTGCACTGTAGACTGTAGTAGCCAGTGCTGCCAAGCCAATTCTCTGTGCTAAAGTATGGCTGGCCTGTGTTTCTATCTGCTAGTTGTGATTGGCACAATCTGCTGCACTGTTTGGACTCTCTGTCCTTGTCTAAACTGCAAACAAATCCTCTCTTCTTTTTTTTTACTTTTTAAACTTTTTCAAGTTCATGTAAGTTTTTAATCTTCCTGCCTGGTAACATCCCTGCTCTCTATAATAGTTGAAACCATTAATTTTTTCCAATTCAATTACTTCTTTTGAAGTACACCTATCAATGCTTCCATGGTGTCTGTGCATGTACGGGTAAACGGTAATTGTACCTTGCTCATCTTGCCTTACTGCTGCACTTGCAGGAGTTGCAATAACAGTTCATGAAGCAGGGAGTTGCGCGAGAAGTGGTATACCGTGACATTGCACATGCGATTCTGTGTTGCTCACAGTCTTGTCGACAACAGACCTTTGACGATTGAAAGGTGACGAATGATCAGAACGACATTATCCCCCCCCCCCCCTCCGATCAGATGTGTACAGTGTACTCTGTGGCATGCACTAGTTCAAGCAAAACCGCCGAGTCGCGCTGTATACTTAGCACCGGGGAGTCGCGCTGTATACTTAGCACCGGGGAGTCGCGCTGTATACTTAGCACCGGGGAGTCGCGCTGTGTACTTAGCACCGGGGAGTCGCGCTGTATACTTAGCACCGGGGAGTCGCGCTGTATACTTAGCACCGGGGAGTCGTACCCAAACGTCATTTTTTGTTTGGATACGACATGGTTTTTGAATTTGCTATTTCACCGACATGGCATTATCTGCATATAAACCTCTATAGGTGGAACCAAGAGTATAACCTGCAGGTTACTATACTCTTGGTTCCACCCAGGGAGTCGCTTGAGTACGTCTCCCTGGGTGGAACCAAGAGTACATAAGCTCCCAGAGCTTATTTTACTCTTGGCGCAACTGACACCAGATCAGTTTTGCTTACAAACTGAACAAAAGAGGACATCGAAGCGCAAAGAACAACTGGACAGCTTCCATTGGGTGACGAGTTTCAAAAATAAACTCCATAAATTTGCGTCACTGCACTATGACTAATTTGAGAAATGTCACATATCAGAGTTAACTGCTCAAAAATGTACGTACTACGCAGCTAAAAAAGGTTAGAAAAAAAGTAAACAAGAACCTAGATCTAAGGATACAACTTTCAACAAGAAGAGTAAACGTAAAAATAAAAAATGTTGACATTCACTCCCGCTTCAGAGTGGATTAAAAACCACAAGAAAAAGCAACTAAAAATTCATGTGTGTACATATCATATCAGTACATGATTGTAATGAGTTTCATAGACATGCACTGTCAAATTCAAGACAGCTGTGGACATTGGTGCATTAGACACACCAGATAGAGTGAAGATAATGATAACATAATAGATTTGTAGCAGGACTTATTCCAGCCTGGTTTGAATTCTGCCTTTAAATTATAATTTCACTGCCACCAGGGCCGGCCTAGGTCTTCTGTGCTGCGCTGATCAAAATCAAAGGCGAAACAGAACTATTTCAAGATCACGATTGGGTAGTAGATTTTATGTATGAAAATGAGGAGGGAGCAGACTATGAAGCCAGATAGTTGTGCTTGGCAGAGAGATTCCATATCATGAAGGGTATAAAATAGCCTTTGACATTTACCTGCTGTAAAATTAGATACTTAGTATGGGTCAGAAAACTGCAGAAGGGAGAGCATGTCCTAGAGGAAAGGTTTAAGAAAGACAGAAACATTTTTAAGGAGAGAGAGAATTAATCATGGTGAGTTCCAGCCAAGAGCACTATGGCAAATCAATAGGTACACCATTGCGATGGCTGTCGTGACCAACATCATTGGAAATCCAATCCTAGAAACAATTACAACCAGCAGCAGCACCAGCACAAACAGACAGCAACAGCAGCAACAATAACAGTTAGGTGATGTCTTTCGGCCACAAACCCTCATCACAATACAACTAAAATGATTTCAATCACACTGGAGCTCGCGCTATTCCGCCGACAACTTGACACTTGACTGACTCACGACTGCCATCCAGAGAACACGAGAAGTCCATCGAACCTTCGACTCGGCAAACCTGCAAGAAAGCACCACTCCCTGCTCAATACACGGTGTTTCGGGGAATTCACCCCTCATCAGTTGAGCTTGAGTAGGCTGAGAAAGATTGTGCCTGAAGAGCACCACTTATACTGTATAGTGAAACACTGTGTATTGAGCAGGACAGCAGGACAGCAGGAGTGGTGCTTTCTTGCAGGTTTGCCGAGTCGAAGGTTCGATGGACTTCTCGTGTTCTCTGGATGGCAGTCGTGAGTCAGTCAAGTGTCAAGTTGTCGGCAGAATAGCGCGAGCTCCAGTGTGGGAGCAAACCCATTCCTAAACAAAATCATCGCCGAAGTCGCAACCTCTATTTCGTTCTATTTCGTAATGATTTCAATCAGTTCAACAAATCCAACAAATTCTTGGTGCATCCATGTTACTGGGCAGTGGGGATATGAACACATAACGTTCTCAAGTCATTATAGAGCTAAGTGATGGATTCTGCATTGTGGAGAGGAGTATCAAAGAGAATTCAGGCTGGTATACCTTGACAACTCCCATACTAGTAATATAGATAATACATCGTCATTTTACAATTGCCAAGACACGAGTCCGAGATTTTTGGTTGGATTGCTTTTCAGAACGGAACATGAGAAAGTTGGCATTCAAGTTGGAAAACTGAAAAGTGTACGCAAACTCGAAATTCATAATGCTAAACCTCCGTAATGATACATACGAATTTACTGTAAAGTACCGCGAGAGCGCACCACCAACTCGTCCTTTCGTGGCCGTGCTGTGGGGGTGGTGTCCTGTCTGTAGGTCATACGGCACGGCACGGCATGTACCGTGTACACACATCGCACGCTGTGCAGTCAATCCGAGCGCAGCCTACCTTGGGCCCCCACACAAGAACATGCCACGGGTGACCTTAGTACACAAAGGTACACTAAGGTTCTCCCGCCACAAGCTCTTTTGCACGCTGCCATACGATTTTCATTTCCTTGGCTGAAAAATCAAGGTGGGCGCTCTTGCGGTACTTTACGGTAATACTGATACATGTACTGGGTTGAAAGGTTAACATTATCTCATTCAGAAACAGTAGCTTACTTGAAGAACTGGTTGAATGAGATTGGATAGCCATGTTGCTCCGCTATTCCAGCACATACGACATTAGCCGATGCACCGATCAGTGTGCCATTTCCTGCAGTATGGGCATTCATGCACATAATGGTACAATCATGTACATATATACATAATACACAGACACGCATGCACACACGCGCGCACACAGACACACATGAACATCATGATACACACACATAATTGCATATACAGTTACAGAAGGTGCATTGCACAGGATGAAATACAAGAAGTTTAGGACCAGCCATCTAGCCAACTCTACATCTCTGGTACCAGAACACACTAGTGAAGTACATTGTACTACAAGTAGTACACCGGTCCTTGCAGAGTACAGTATGTATAGTATGTCCTCCACCACGCATACCTGGTGTTATGCCGTCAGCATCATACATGACCACTCTCCTTGAGAGGATAGCGAGAGTGATTGTTCACTCTCCTGGATTTTTCTTACACAAAGGTCTGATGTGCATACACGTACTTGTACTTGTACCTGGTGTTATGCCGTCAGCATCATGCATGTACATGTACATACACGTACATACACATACTTGCACACTACATGTAGTCTTTTATCTACAAGTAATCAAGCATGGCGGCGACCTGGAACAAGCGAAACTTCCTAAGCTGGTTGTTTTCCCAACACAATTGTATAGCCGGTGGTAACGTGGACGTGCGAACTTTACTCTTTAAAAAAAATTTGCACCAGTACAAATGCATGTATTAACAGATAAGTTAGCACGCAGTAGGTAGAAGAAGGATACACAAATCGCAATGTTTCAACTCACCGCCTAGACAAGCCCCCATTGCCAGTGCCCAGACTAGGGGAGGAAGGGGAATACCCACATCAGCATCACTACCCAGAGACACTACAACAGGAATCTGCAGAAAACAAAGAAGAAAACCCCATCACAATGTGCAGGACTGCAGAGTATAGAGTATTCCAGCCACATACACTCTCATTGTTCTTATACCCAGGTCGGTATTCACGAGATTGACTGTAAACATTCTATTTCACTCTTGGACCAGTAACCCTGAGCTCTGCTGATTAGACCTAA